TTCAATTCACTTGAAATCTCCCGATTCCGATACGATTCTGAAAATCAAAAAACCGATTCCGATACGATTCCGATTTCAAGTTACTAGAAAACTGGCATCGGGAGTATTTTCATAAAAAGCAGTAATATATTTTTTTTCTCTTCTAATAAATGGTTAAATTAGTCGTTCAGATATTTATTTAAACAATATTTGAAAAAAAAGAAAATTACTTGTTCTTTTCACAAAAAAAAAATACATCTCAATACAAGAACAGATGATATGTATCTATTTACAATTACTTTTTTAGTCACACTTCCAAAAAAGAAACGCTAAAAAAAATAGACATCATCATTATTTGCTTCATCAGTTTGTTCCTCAATAGTTTTGTTTTTCTGATGATCCGAAAGATCTTTTGAACGTTCATTTATTGTTAATTCATCATAAGATCCCGATGCTGTTATATTTGTTTCAGCTGATGTTGAATTTGTAATAAATTTTAAAACCAAATGATTTTTTTCAAAAACATCAATTTATCTAATTTATGGGCACTTAAACGTGTACGTGATTCAGTAGCAGCTTCACCACTTGCTGAGAATAAACGTTCTACACACGTATTAGTTGCTGGTATAACTAAAATATCTTTTGCTGTTGAATACAATATTGGAAATTTTTGTTGACGTTGTATCCAATATTGAAATAAGTCATCATTTCGTTTTTATTTTGTTTCGTCATTCAAGTAGCCTTCAAACTCATCATTAATATGTTGTTGTCTTGTTTGAGATTGTTCAAGATCAAAACATGATTCAATAATATCAGCATCATTTTCTTCTGTTGTTTGTCGTGATGTAGTTGTCGGATAAGACAAACTACTTGATGCATATGAAGATCGTGATTCTATAGTAGAAATATAGTGAAAATAGAATAAGTATAAAAGAGAAATGTTTTATATCGTTACTTGCACGACGTCTTTCAATTTCATCATTTAATAAATTATAACATTTGCCTTTAACAGCTGGACATACATGTAAATATTTGAAATTTGGATGTAAAATGATAACCATAAAGTGTACATCTTCAAGCTCCCAATATGAAGCAATTTCATGATGCATGTATTTTTTCAAAGAAGCAATTGCAGCAGAATCATGTGCATTTGGTTTTGATAAATTGATTAACCATTGCTTTAACGGTAATACTAAATGAATAGTTGGATGTTTATCAGCTGATAATACTTTTGTCACCTCGACGAAATATTTAAAATAATTGCTAAATTCCAAAAGAACATCATAATCAATTGCAGCCAACTTTTGTTTTTGTTCTGGATCTTTTACAACACCAGATAATTCTGGATAAACACTAATAAAACTGTAAATCATTGAATAGGCCTAAATCATACAAAGAAAAACAATAATTCAATACACTAGTTTTTGTATAATAAATAAAATAAAAGGTGTCATAAAGATTAAACATAATCAAATAGAAATACTGCAATATTTACTAAATTCCAACGTGTTTTTGTGAACATTTGTAAACGCTTTGATAACTTAGATTGATTATGTGAACGACGTAAATAACTAACTAAATCTTGAACATTATTGAACATCATTTGAATATCATCTCAACCAATTTTTGGCAAGGTTAATGAATGTTCAACGATCTTATTTAAAAATGAGCTGAACAACCAACACGAACAGCACCATGACGAAATGCAGCACGCATTTTATTTTCATTGTCACATACAATAGAAGTATTCTTGTCGAGTTCCAAACTAAATGATCGCAGAATATTTTCTGTAAAAAGACGGACATTATTGGCTTGTTGATTTGGTAATTTATATGCCTTGCAGCATAAAATAAATACATTTAAACCAAATTTATCGTCAAAATAATGAATTGATAAACCACCATAACCAATTTTTGTATATGGCTCTGTCAAAAAATTAATTGTAATACAATACTGTTTTACCGATTGAATTAAATTAATTAATTTTGCACGATCTTCAAAAAAAATTTTATCAGTTTCACGACTGATCTGAAATACAAAGACAAAAGGATGTAGATACAGGGAGTGTTGTGTAAAAGAAGACTTACTGTTGTTCGATCGGGTAAAAGTGATTCAATCGGAGTAAATGCAGACAATGCACGACCAGCACCATACATTGCATTAGCTAAATGTTGAAAACCATTACCTTGAATTAAAGAAAATGGTCGATTATCAATAGCACAAAACTCAGCAGCTGCTGTTATTAAATCTTTTTTAATCATTCGAATCAAACGTTCATTATTTCCATTGTTACTTGACATAAACTTTGTTAGTAACTGTTGATTGCCTGGAAATTTATCACGACAATATTGTGAATGTTTTTTTAAATTAGTTGATCCATCTCCAGTTTTCCATGCAAGTAAGTTTTCACAATTTGAACAAAATATATAATGTGGGGGAATACCATTAACAAATACTTGAGAATAATTGTTCCAATGTTCACTGAACGGTTTTTTTGGTTTGGCATATGAAATAGATGGATCTCGATTTCTTATCAATTTTTCAATATCGGATTTCGATAAACTTGCCATTGTTAAGTTGAACAATATTATGAATAATCAGTTGTTTCTTGAGTAAAAAAGATATTTCTGTACGGAGAGTGGTGGATATTTATAGGCCCTAAGTCAGACAAAGAATGGAAATAACAAAGCGCGAAGAAAATGATGAAATGCACTCGATGTCAACCTAGTTAACATTGTTATATAACAATGACATATATCGAATCATAGTTATTTGCGTATTTTGATATCACATCTCTTTATTTAGATATTAAATCTCTGTATTCAGTTCGTCTCCTTCTCCCTGGATAATCTATACATTCTTTATCTTTTCTTTCTTTTCATTTTTATGTGTTCGAATTATTGGAGGGCTTATCTAAACAAAGAATGAATAACTATTTCTTTCTTCGCCAAGTGGTGCAAAACACGTTTTGCATACAATGAAAATATAAAAAGAAGAAAGAAGTGTAAAACTAGTGATGACAAACAATATTGACAAAATGCCTAAAACAAAATATAGCAAAACATATGCACATTGTTGCGAATCTACAATAGTGAGCGGCTCTGACTTAAAAAAAAGCACTTGCCGATTCCGATACGATTCCAAAATTGTTGAGGTCGATTCCGATACGATTCCGATCCTAAAAAATGTTCTTCTTGCCCATGTCTACGTATTGGTGCCTGTCGGTTCCTTTGTCGACTAGAGGAACAATGTGATACATGACAGTGTTCACATCTTCTTATGCAGTCATTTGTACGGAGACTCTGGCATATCCAGCAATCCCAGCTGATGTTCGTCACTAATATGCACATTCAAACTTGACATGCAACACATCAAAAATTTGATATGCGTCATTCTATGATGAATTCAGCCTTTTACATCAGTTGTACTTGTACGACTATGGAATATCAACAGTTTCAACGGTTTCTCAGACTAAATGGTTTTTATGTGTTAGTATATATATATATGGGTGGGTGTGGGTGTGGGTGTGGGTGTGGGTGTGGGTGTAGGTGTGGGTGTGGGTGTGGGAGTGGGTGTG